TGAATCGCACCTATACAAAATTCAAAGTCAGCCCAATTTAAATATAAATAAATTCAGTGCTTGTACTCGTATATCTAAAGTACTGCCTTTACGTTGCTTAAAAAACCGGGAATGTTTTTATGCGCCATGCTGTGAACTATGCCATACTAACCAAGTTCTCCTTGGCAAATGTCGGTTCTGGTCGCTCCACCGAGGATAAACTTTGGATCTGGTGCAAGTTCCTAAAAAAGATACAAAAAGATCGAAAAGTGAACAAATGGTCAGTGCTTGGTAGCACCCAGGTAAAACACAAGGAAGGTATTGTACTGTGATTTTTCTTTTCAGTGAGTGCATAAATGACAACATTCATAACAGATAGCTACACTCATCCTTATTTAGAGCCACAGTATGCTGACTGACCTTCAGCTAGTGCCCTAGTCTTGCAAGCTGATCATTATGGGGTGATTTTGTCGTGTACCAATTCTTAGTTCCCCTAAAAGGAGTTTTCATCCTCATTCTCATCTACAATGACTGATATCACTTTCTATACAATTCTTGAAAGACAACGACACAAACAAGACACATACATCCTATGCTCGGAATCAGTGATCTGTGCATTGAGTGTCTCTGGGTGAGGAGCTTCTCAGTGCTGAATGAATACAGTAGGTTTAACAAAGTTTAACACATTAGGAGAGGAAATTGGCATCAAGGGAGTAGGGGACTGAGGTAAAGAGTGTAGGATATATTTGTATAGGATTTATTTGAAAAAGATCAAAACAAAGCAGGAAATGAACAGAAATCTACCGTCCTCTCTCCAAATAAAAGTAGGATTGTAAATATTTCCACACCAGGTACAAAGTCTTATTTAAGGTAGGAGCACAATATCAGAGAACAATAGATGTTCAAGATGTTTTCTAGCTTCCAGTGAAACAGGGCGTGGACTGGAGAGACACTACCCTCATTCCTGTCAGCTACTATATCAATCATATACTACTGCTGCAGGAGGTAGCTAGTCAAAATCATTTTACACAATCTGTGAAGTGTGTGTTTGACTTAAACACCCTAATTCAGCTTGCCATATTTGGATGATACAGTATGTTTTCACAAAATGCTTCCATTTCAAGCTATTTAAAACATTGAGCAAATTCTGTTGCTCATTCGTATGTGTTATTCACAGAGTAGTAAATCACATTTCCTAAAAGTACTTGAAAACTCTGGAAACAGAACAATTGCCACTTGCCCAATTTTAAACAAATGCCAGCATTTGTACATAATAAGAGACTTGTGGACAGAATTGCAGGGGTGAAAAAGCACAGGGCTTTTGTTAGAACTTTGCCATCAGAGATCCACACAACACAGAATCTTCAATCAGCATGAGAAACTAGGATTTTAGTCTGTTCACCTGTCTAAGAAGAAGCTGAAGGGTCATTCTTACATTCCAATAAGATTATGATCCCAATTAATATTGATTATGACTCACTTCCGGAAACTGCGGAGCTGTGCGTCAGCTGGCAGTGGTTTCAAGGCGCATTCAGAAATGTATTTAAAAAAATGTCACACAAGAGTCGGGAAAACCTGTAGACATTCCTAGAAGACAAGGCTACTCCTGAACTGGACCAGAGCTCCAGCCTTAAAATAAAACTCTTACAGTGGCTTTCAAAGCAGACCAATCATTATTGCTGTTTTCAGGTTAACTTTCATAAATTCAGCTCAGACCTGTCACTTTTGTCTACCATGAGGGAGTGAAAAGGAGATTGTTCTCAAAAGAGACACATTGGCAAATGTCAGTAGTGTTTCACACAAACTAACTCTGTCCACAAGAGGAAAGTGAGAGTTGAATTGCTGTTGCAGCAGTGGTACATAACCCTTAATGAAAGGAACATCTGGAGTTTCAAGGCTGCGGACCAGGGATATTTCCAATTTGCTCACAAAGGAGATGAAGATTGCGCATTAAAGCTGATGATTTCTCACTGTCTCCAGGGGTAAGTGCACCAAGCAGCAAGGCTGGTGAGGCGAGTTTTTTTCACTTCTTGACTGTAGCAAGACTGGAGCACCCATTCGGCCAGCCTACAGGACTGTAGACTGTAGCGCCTCATTCTTGAGTACAGTGTAGGAACAAAGCATCGCTGCATACTTTCTGTCTTATCTAGTGGGCAGGTCTCAGGCACACCCGCCACCACACTGCACAGCCTCAGTATGGCTTCAGAGCATGACAAGCATCTCTCTGAGGAATGTGCAGGCAATTCTGACTCCAGTCACAGACTGGGGCTGGGCCCAGTTTGTAAAACCCACTGAGCTGCATCAACACAGCCAACAGCACAGAGGTCCAGGAACGTTCTGCATTTCATCCATTGAATCTGTTATCATTGAAGCAATCATTTCTTGTCTAATTTTGACCAATTCCTTCAGCACCAGGGAGATTGCATTGCAAGTTAGAATGTTACTGGGCATTATCAGCTTCTAGAAACAGATAAATCTGATAATGCATGATGTGCATATGTAAATATACCATGTACTGTACAGAAATATATACAGTATGTACATTTCATTTCATAGTTTTGACTAAAAAAAGTAAGATGTTTTCTGTGAGTTGCAGAAAACGGGTGGCAAATTTTGCTCAGGCGCATTATGTCTTTAAAAGTAATCTTGTTACTAATTTCCCTTAAATAAATATTTCCAATTCCAGCTTACATCAAAGACCTTGAGGAGATCAACTGGCAAATTTATTCTTTGGTAAAAAACATTCCCATTTGAATATCAGTCCAGCCTGTACAAGACACAGGGAGGTGTCAGGCTGACAGTTCGTCTTTTACAGGACGATAAGACCACTAGACAGTAATCACCACTCTCTGCTGATAATGTGCATCACAAGCTTTCAAACGAAGAATATACCCCTCTGAGTCAAAGTGAAGGTGCCTGGGAGGCTTGAAATCAGATGGTTCTTGCCTCATGAAAACAGGTTTTGAACGAGTTGGGAGGAGAAACTAGTGTTTTTTTAGGGTGTGTTCAAATATTCTGCTGGAAGATCCAGAAACGTTTGATTCCTGGTAGTGCTGGATGCCACTGGAATGCAGCTGAAACAAAGGGCAAGAACCGGACAAAACTACTGTACGCCACTTCCCAGAGAAAACCACGTGGAAAACAACATTTGGATCAAGAATTGGCTGGGCCAATTCTTCCCGATTTATACAGTTTCAACAATAACTGGATATGCCGACAGAGCTAGCAAACTAGCAAACAGATATTCAAAAAATAGGATGAGTGACACAAAGAGTGACAAAGAAATGATGAAGTCATAGACATGGAGTGGGCAGACACATTGCACGGGATGTTTAACACTGAAAAATGGGAAATTCCAGTCCAGGGAGTTACTGTATGTTCATGCTTCTCAAAGCACCAGTAAGGCTTCAAGTTGAGCAGTGAGTGTCAGACACAGGCTTCCCAGCAAGGAGATGGAGGCCCAAACTCAGAGCTCTTTTAAAATATAGCTGCATGAAATTGTAGTTTCATTCTGCTACCAAACTACCCAATTGGCAAGGTGGTCAAACAGTTTTCCTCTGGTTAGGATCCTTTCTTAAGTTCTTTTGTGCAGTTGTGCACATTGCCCTACTGCTTCAGGTCCCTCTCACATTGAGCCAAGTGCTGTGCTGGAAATATTGATTACCACCTCCAATCAAAACCAGAAGGAGAAACAACAAAATTTAAAACACAAGATTCAGTCTAAGGGAAACAGATAAATGATAAGAGTGCTATTATTCGGTGGGGCGAAAAACATGTCTACTCCAATGCAAATCGTGAAGTACAGTCTGCAGGTCCACTACATCTTGACGTGAAAGGTTACTATTCTCTTATTTCTTATTTACAGCTGGTGTCCATTACTATTCCTCTGCAGGTGACAAGCTGTGAACTTGAAACACATTCCAGCTTGCAGCACAGAGCTACCGGCTCTAAGTGACACTCCCACGCCACGCACGAGAATAGTCTCAGCGGGTTGTGAAAGGAGCCCTCGGCGCCTCTCCCGTTCAAAGTCAACAGAAAAGAAATTCTTGTCGTGCCTCCGCGCTTCATTCCTCACCAGCACTGCAGTCACGGGACAGGGCATCACTCAACAGACACCTCATTTCTTAGCTACTGTGGGTATTCTAATGAGCTTTAGGTTTGAAAGGCTGTGCAAGATCCGCTGCTGTATCTGCAGTTATCTGGTGATCGGAAACACACAGTACAGTATATTCAGGCAGCTTCTCTCTGCAGTGCAGTACAGGCCCTGCAGCTCATGTTTACACCTGGTCAAGGACTGTGCTCTGCACACCCTTGGTAAATAATATGTTAGTAGTACTGAAAGTCATGAAATAGGACGTTTTTCCTAGAAATGAAATAGCAGTGGAAGGACTACAATCATATACAAAACCGACCGAGTCAGTTCGTAAGCTTCTGTGTGCCGTATGCTATTTATTAGTTTGAGCAAGACGATGATCCCCTGAGGCGTTTTCGTTCATTATTCACAAGGTGTTTTCTGTTTAATTTTTTCCTAGATGATCAAACATGACAGGTCGTCATGACTGGAATTTTAAACCTGGCGTTGTTTTCCCACTTGTTGAAATCAGCAAGCTCTTATTGGGCAGTATTAAAAAGCACTTGGTGATGTTGCGCAAGGCGCGTCACATCCCCTGGCAGAACAGGTTTTTAAATAGGTTTGATAAAAACAATACATATATATATATATGTGTGTGTTTGACATCAGTCCAAATTAAATAAATGAAGTATGTTTCCAGATAATTACTTTTTTTCCAGAACACTTCATGAAATCGTCTTTTGCGCATGTGAAATAGTAGGTGCTGAATCCCATTTTGAGAACAGATGAGTGTTACACACAATACGTCGCTACCTCTCATTTTATATTTTGTAAAAAGGTGATTAAAAACAAAAAGAAAAATTCGTCTCTAAATTCAAAAACATGCAAGTGAAACACTGGAGATGACTGCGCTGCGCTAAGGAACAGTTTTCATACTTCATTCTGAGATTTGTCACGTTTTACCAGAGCAGGCTTGATCCATCACTTGAGTAATTAATTATCTGGTATAATTCGCAATGCAGCTGACAACAGTCCTAGATTTTTGTATTTTAAAGTGTTTTTTTGTTTAAGTGAGGTTTTGTCTCAATACTGTATGTGTCTTCATTAAGCATTACTTTAACTTTTTTATGACTGGGACACCTCCGCTGAAAACAAAGCAATAAATATTGGTTTCAAAATAAAAATAAGCCATCAAAACACCAGAGCCGTCATTTGTCGAATCAAAACGCATATTAAAACAGCATTTTATGAAACGCACACCATTGCATTCGTGATCTAAGTTTTAATGAGACATCTGAAACCGCGTAACGAGAAAAACAATATTCGGTAAGTTATTTCAGAAGTGAATTTTGCGTCCCGCCATGTCCATCGCAACAAATTGAATTCAAACACCTAACAACAGAAACTCCACTGTCGTTTACTGCTGACAGAAAAGTCTACAGTATATATGTATATGGTTTCCAGCTACACGTCGATAAACAGTATTCATTCAAGAAAATGAAGCTCCATTAATCATAAACATAAATATGTTTAGCCCGAACATTAATTGCAAACACAGCACGAATAAACACCCCCGAAACAGTTGGCTCGTCTGCCGGGAGCCTGTATTTATGCAGTGTGAAGCGTGTCCTACCCCCGGTCGCTTCCATGAGAAGTTGATGGGTACGCTCTCGCTGTAGTAGATAGAGGAGTCGCGGGCAGGGAAGTCCGGGTCCTCAAACAGCCGTTTCTTCTGCAGGCATTCCCGGCGGAGCTCCTCGAAGCTCCTGCCGTCCAACTGGGTCGGGCGAGCCTGCACCGGCTTGTCGCCGCCCTTGTTCTGGAAGGAGTTCTGGTAAGAGTAGGGCATCCTCGGACCCTGGCGCGGACAGTGTAGCTCGGCGGAGGAGACGCGCTTTGCGCAGGAAGAGTGGCGGGGCACCTGGTTTTCACCTGGCCGCCGGGCAGGTACCTGTAGGACCACACCTGGAGGAACAGGTTCCACTCGCCTCAGAAGGCCCAGCCCATCCCTCGGGCGGCCCCGGGGGATCTTGGCTCTGGAAAGGAGTAAAAGAATTTACTCCGGCTTGGAGACACAGGGATGAGTGACGGTGGACAGGAATGTCGTCTAGTACAGGTGTATAGCTGCCAGGAGAGACAAACTGCATAGTATGGTGCAGCTGTTGAACTCCTCCTGTCTTTTCAATGCAAACTGTTTGAAGCGATACCAGCAGTATCACTGCTCAGGACATGTATAGCTACAGTATGGCCACATGTTTTGCATGAGTGTAGATTAATTTACACTTCAGTGTGAAGCTAAACTTCCCTTTTCAAATATATCTACTGTATATATCTGTCCTTCTTGTCTTTGTTCCTAGTAGGCAGATAAGCACCAAAAAAACATTAATAACAGAAGCACAGTACTTAATAAATCCAGAAGTTCATTCAGTTGTTATCCTGCCATGTTCTTCAAAACTGTGAGGTCCCTCAGCACATGAATCTAGTGACGTTGCCATTCAATGACATAACATTTCTAAAAAAAGGGTCTTTTTTTGCCTTTATGAACTTGGGGGGGATATTAAAAATGTCTATAATAAACCTATAGCAAAGTGTGCATTAAAAGAACTTGATCTAAACAATAACGGAGAGGAGTGAAAACAAATGTAAAAGTAGCATTAATAATAATAACAGTTCTTTCAGGGGGCATCATATACATTTCCACATCGGACTGTATGATTTGTTGTGTTTCTCATCAAAATGGGTCCAAAAACACTACAGAGCCATTAATTCCCTTTGGGATACCCACTGACACACTGAGACTGGCAGCAGTATATCAAGAGGTTCTACTGATCCTGATTATTTTACACCTGAGTCACAGAATCTCTCCTGACGCTGCAACGACAGCTGGGGTATTGCGATGTGAGGGCCATAGGGGTGTGGCTGTTAGCACTGCTGCCTCATGGGTCCTTGGTCCTGGGTTCGATTTCAACCTGGGGCACCTTCTGCATGGAGTTCGGATGTTTTCTGCTCTCTGCTCGGGTTCCATATTGCGAGAACATGCTAAATTAACTCGGTTAAATGGGTCACTACGTTGTCCCTGTATGTTCAGCAATGGAGTGATGTCCCATCCGGGGCATTTTCCTCGCTTGACCCCTATATCTCCAGGATAGGCTGCGGGCTTCACCAGGAATAAGCAACTTTCTGACAGTGGATGGCATTACGATGCACATGGATGTCTTGGCAAAACGTGAGGCCGTGATGATGACTGCAAAGCAGGAGAAGAGGAACAACAAACATAAAAAAAGATGTGCAAAGAATCCTGAGGTCGCACATCGGAAAGCTCAGAAGCTTAATAGCCCATTCCTCCTATTTTTTTTTATCTTCAGTAGCGTTAGTCAGCTTCCTGCAAGGTGTAACAGAAAAACCCTCTTACAACACGGTTATCGTAAAGAGTTTAGAAAGGACACAGAGCTGGTCCATCAGGACAGCAGCACAACTGCGCTGAGAACAGATCGTCACAGCTTCAGTGATTCACCAGCTTGGCTAATGAGTAACAGGCAGGCTAAAGCATGAAGCAACTACAAGGCTGCTTGTCTTTAAAAACAGACCACCAGACTAACGGAACTCTGAAACCAGCAGCAGCTGCCTCAGCAACAGAATTTAAGGTCAGTGCATCTTAATAAAAACATTTTCACAACAATAATTTCCCTTGCAAATATCTAATTAAAAACTGTTAAGAAAATTCAACAATAATCAAATTGAATTTGTAACAAGTTATCCTTGTTATTTTAAAGTAATTGTTTAAAGATAGAATTCTTGCCAGAAACTGTGCACTTATTAATAAAAAGACATACTGTAATTCCTTTTTGCTTTGAAGCATAGTGTTGAGAGATTAGCTTGTTTATTGTGTGTCATAGAGAAGAAGCTGAAGTCTTTAAAAGCTGTCCTAGAACTGTTTTAAAAATTATAATCTAATATATAATGTAATACAGTATATATGAAACACACTTTGATGTGTAATTTTATTGTTTTAATATTCATAATCACACTATGTTATGAGAGATTATATTTTTTTATATCCATTTGATTATCATAATTTTATATAAGTGTATTTTAATTCTACACACAAAAGGGGAATTGTGGCACTCTACACATTTGCTTATTAAATAAAAAAGAGATTCGTATCTTGTGTCCAAAGAAAGGAGAAAAAAAAATATTTAACCATTTTTGCGGTACAAGATAGATTTTGACATGCGCACCTCATGCAATGATTAACAAGCTTTCCTCTTCCAGAGGACAGCAGTCCTGAATTTGCACTGCGTGCTTTGTGGGGAGTCTTCACCTGCAGGGCTTCAGAAGCAGAAATAAAATACATATAAATCACTCTTTAAAAACTTTTTAAAAAATTCTCCTTCTTCTTGTTTTAAAATTCAATTTTGGAACTTCTGTCATTTGTTTATATATATATATGTAACTCAAAAACAATAGCTTTAGTTTTCCAGTAAATGAACTTCATGCAGTCCGTAGTGCAGTGACTGCAAGGCCTTGACAGTATTGGATTTCTCCTCAGGCTACAGTACAGTGCAGATCAGTTCACTAACCTTTCCCACTAAATAATCAATATGTTTATACAGTACTTTTCTAACATTTATCATGTTTCATAAAACTGGGCTATAAGAACCATCTGTGAGCTTTCATGTTGTTTTTTTTTCCTTTTCTATAAATGAATTTGTTTTATACTTTACATGGGTTTATGAAACATTAACATAAAGTGCTCATGAAGGTTTTACAAGCTTTGAATACCATTAAAATTTACCTTACATTTATATAGAACATTCTAAATCGGTGACCTTATAAACGTTGTAGCCTTGAACAAAATGATCAAAAAGTCAAACTGCATAAGAACACCTATACGTGGTGGGGAGATGAACAAAAATAATTGGTTTAAAACTGCAGACAAGGTCAAAGCCCCTTCGTAGGAAGACATACTGTATGTAACAGCAAGGTGCACTGAGTTGAAATAGTAACTGTTATAAAAGCAAAGTCCATTATCAGACGCGAGGACTCAGAAGAGGACCACAGACCAAATTGAGACAGCTGACAGCAGATCATAGAAGTAAACTGGAAGGAAGCCACTTAGTCACTGCGTTTTTAAATTCGGCTCTGAATTCTGCGGGACGACAGTGCAGTGATGTTACAGACGTGATTTAGTTTCAATAAAAACCCAGTGAGCGATGGGCTTTGGACTTCTTCCAGCTGTATTACAGACACTGTTAAGTGCAACTGTTAGTAAGGCTATGCAGCATTGAGAAAAGGGAGCAGCATAGATGAGTTTATTCACAGCTACTGTCGCAAGCACAGGTAAATAGAAAAGACACTTTGGAAACGTGCTGCTTTTAACAGCAAAATATAGTTTAATGTCACTTGAGTAATCATTTGCCAGCATGATTTTCTTTCCCTTTTTCAAACTTTGTCAGCTTTAGCCCTGAGAATTTTATTTTTCAGTATGTCCAACAGACATAGATATACGGTATGTGTGTATCTATATATGTTTGTCTTATTTAAGTAGCAATCAAAACATTTACTTGTCATTATTACTTGTTTGCTATTTAAACTGTGGCAGTTGACCTTCTTTATCACATTTTCTTTCGCTGATGTGAATCAGACATTAGAGAGGAGCTCAGCAGTTCTGCGAAGTTCTCTTGAGAAAGCCATTCCTGTGATGGACACAGGCCAAACTCAAAAGAGGCAGTAGAATAACGTTGCAAACGGCCCATCATAACTAGCTGTACTTTTGGAATTTCTGCAACGGCCAAGTCCTGATTTCTAGAGTATTTTACTTTTCTGAACAGGTTTACTTCATAAGACGGGACTGAGAAAACAGGATGCAAGAAATCCTGAAGGCTTTGCTCCTTCTCTCCTGCGCTAACCTGACGCTGGGGAACCGTGTCTATGTTCACCCCTTCAAACTGTTCGCGTTGGAAAATCTCACCTGCGTGAACCTTCAGACTCACAAGGAGAAGCTGCTGGAGGAGAACTTGATTGAACCCTCCCCTATAGACCCACTAAACACCTTTCAGGGGGACACCAGCCCAGACGAACGGCCCGACCGGACCAAACAAAATCTTATCCAGCTAAAAGCCGAAGTGCTTGCAGGGCTCCAGAATGGCCTTGGTCTTCGGGTGTACCGCACCCTACTGAAGCAGAAGACCGGCAACGCTCTGTTCTCTCCTGTGAACACTTTCGGAACTCTAGTCACATTTTACCTGGGGGCCTCATTACCCACAGCTGCAAAACTGCAGGAGTTCATTGGCATAGTGAAGGAGGGAAATACGAAAAACTGCACGTTTGTATTTGATGGCTACAAGGTTCTGACCACGCTTCAGCACATCAGTTCTCTGACTAACGGAACCACCGACTTGCAGAAAACATTTGCGTGGACCTTTGTCGACAGAGGCGTTAAACTGCCGCACGAGTTTGCTCAAGGGACGCGGAACCTCGCCGATTCCTCCTACATCAGGTCGGTGGACTTCTCCCTCACCTCAGAAGCCAGACCCCTCATGAACTCCTTCATCGAGCAGACATCTTTGGGGAAAATAAAAAACCTTTTCAGTGCCATCGACCCATCTTCTGACCTGATGTTCGCAAGTTCTGTTCATTTCAAAGGTGAGTTAAATGCAAAAATGTACAAACTGAACTGATTTTTAATTTTAAATTTAGATTAATTGAGCAAAGTAGTTACTGCCAAAGTTAGTCAAAGGACACGTCAAGTAAGAAGCAGGCAGCACTGACAGAGACATGACATTATTAAAAAGTCCCTGTGTCTTTGGTTGTGAATCCTAAAAATAATAAACTAATAATTCTAGTAAAACACAACTTCCAAAACACTGGAGTGAAACCTTTCACAATCTCATGCTGTTCTGCGTAAGGCCTGGATGTTTTCAGCCTTCTTCCTGCTGATTGGAAGTTGATTCTTATCACAGCTGAATTCTGGTAACACCTGAAGTGCATCAGAATCTACTCAAACATATCCCCTGGGATAACCTCCAGGACCATGGAGATACCAAAGGGAAGCTAAAGTTAGTGGGCAGCACCAGTGTCTATTTCCCTGAAATACGCCCTAACACTCCCAAAAGAAAGCAAAGACAACATGAGCCATTCCCCATGGACAGCAAGTAAAAGAAAAATAAAATGATGAAGATTGCTCAAGTGTGTTTTGGGTGACCTTCCCCCTACCGCTTTAAATATATTATATGAGAGCCATCTTATGGCGTTTCTAAATCCACAAACTTAGTATGTCCAGAATTTGGCAGCCAGAATTTTGACCAGGTCACATGCACGCAATCACATTACTCCTGTCCTGGAGTCCTTGCACTGGCTACCTATTAGGTTTTGTGTCAAAATCAAAATCCTCATGCAGATCTATAAGCTCTGCCTGGCTTGGCACCTCAGTACCTGTCTGAGCTACTGTCTTTCTATTCCTCAACCTCGCAGCCTTCTTTCATGTGCTGTGATTCTGGTCTCCTGTATATCCACTCTAGGGGTGATAGGGACTTCTCCTTCTGCGCCCTAAAGCTCTGGAATTCTATCCCCAAGGACATCAGATAGTCACCTTCCCTCCCCTGTTTCAAATCAAGACTCAAAAGCTTCCTCTTAATAAAGGCTCTTATTTTATTTAATTGTCTGTCTGCCCCTTTGCATCTTCTACTGCCCTCCAAACCCTTCTGTTCCTTTGTGCTAATTCTCTTATCTCATATCTTTGTTGCTGTTTTCGTTATCCTTTTTTATGTTTTCCTTTAAAGGGCTTTGAGAGGTATAAAAGCCCTGTATAAAATAATGTTTATTATTATTGTTGTTTTTATTGTTATTATTATTAAGTCCAGCTCTGTTGCCCCCATGAGGTGCATACTGATTTCTGTCACTGTTAAGATATTTATCCTAAAAATAAAGCTTTACAAGACTGGATTGTTGAGTACAGCTGCCAGGAATAGTCTTTTGCACTTGAATCTAAACAACAGAAAAGTATGTTGATCCTCAAATTGAGAGAAACCAACTTGTTTTGTTTCAGGACAATGGAAAGTGCCTTTCCAGCCGGAGCAGACCACAACAGAGGGCTTCTGGATCGACAAAGACACCAGGGTCACGGTCCCCCTGCTGTCTCACACTGGCAGTTTCAAGCACAAAGACGTGAAGGGCCTGAACATCTCTGTCCTTAAACTGCCCATGAGCAAGAGCACTTACATGCTCCTTGTCCTGCCACACGAGGGCGCTGACCTGCACCGCATCGAGGAACGTCTTTTTACAGGAAAAAGAGTGGAATTTTCAGAGCTGGACACGGGACTGACTGATGGGTATGGCTGACAAAATCACATTAGAGAGCACATCTAATGGAGTGCTGTTTGTTCATAGAATTACTTCTCAAGCCTACTTCTTAAGTACTGCACCTTTCCTGACCTTAGCCAATAATGTTAAAGGTCTCTTTGTTACCTCTGCAAAATATCTCATCATCACTACCTGTGTCTCTGTTTTCAAATCCTATCTAATTTATTTGAGTATTTTTGGTTCAATATACACCGGTTTCCTAAAACTGAAAACTTTAGTTGTTCGAGGCCAAGAGGTTTGATTGTCTGGCTTTCTTTCATCGAAAAACTCTTCGATTGGTCTAATTATATAAGTTACCTCGAAAATGTTGGCGTAGGCCCCAAAATGTTTAAAATTGTTTAAAAATAATCCTTAAAGTCACTGAAAATATGAATTTTGTTTAGTTGAGCCAATTATTAGATCAGTTAAGGTAAATGAGAAGATCAGAACAAAAAAACAATTCCTTGTATATTAAGCACGGGAGAGTTAAAGAAACAAATCATGCAGAATGTGAAAATAAAAACAAGGAAATATGAACTTTACTGATGTTTCCTGTGCACTAAGGAAAGAAATTAATTTAAAATGATTGAGTGGGTCAAGTCCAATTATTTCTAGATGTCGTGTGCTTATTAAAAGCCGCAGGTAATATGTGTAACTGTGCCAGACTATTGAACAGCTGAATCAGGTCTACGTGCAGTGTGTGTGGCTGGTGTAGGCCAAAGAAAAGCTTGGAGCACATATGGACAAGCTGTTCTTTTTGTGACCTCTGCAGGGTTTTCAATGTGTTCCTGCCCAAGTTCTTCATGAGTACTGTGAACGACCTCCAAGCTCTTCTCTCTGACATGAATCTTCCATATGTGCTGGGTGAAACTGCAGACTTCAGAGGACTTGGTAAAAAGCAGCATTTCACAGTCGGGAAGGTAAAGATTTTGAAAGGAAACTCGGATGGACCTCAAATATTTCAATTGCACTGAACATTTCAGAGCATATAAAATGTTATCAGAATGTGTAAAGAACACTGACACAAACCGGTTTGAAGATAAACAAATAAGAGAT